CCCGGGAGGGGTGATTTCTCGCTTTCTGTCTCTCTGTCTCTCTGTCTTTCTGGCAAGCACATGTGCCCTATAGCAAAGACCTCTCCCCCCCCAAAAAAAAAAATAGAGAAAGAATAAGGAAGAGTGGGGTTTTATTTAATTTATTAATTTTTCGAGAGGTTTTTGCTATAGGGTGTGTGCGCTCGCCTGAAAGAGAGAGACAGAGAGACAGAAAGCGAGAAATCACCCCCCAGGGGGGATGGTCACGCCCCAATCCCTTCTCCTCCATTCTCCTCTCGGGATCTTGGGCACGCACACACACGCGCCCGGCGTGAGTTGAAGCCACCGGGTCTGGGACTCGAACCACTGTCGATTACATGGGAGTCCAGTGACATAGCCATGACGCCAACTGCTGGTCCCAGGGCTCTTACTTTATATTTGATATTAACTAACTACCTTGTTCTGTCTCCTGGGCTCCTCCCCGTGTCCAGGGAGGTCCCTGGGTCAGAGCCGTCTGAGCGAGCTCCATCCTGGTCTCATTTCTCTGAACCAGAACATTCTCCACCGTCAGGGATTGAGTTCCCCGTCACTGCAGACTCAGGTGTCCCGAGGACACAAGGCGTCTTGTCCTCCGCGTCTGCCAGGGGGTCGTTTTGTAGAACTGTACTTACGTCCGCTGTCCGAGGAAGCATTTTGCGTTCCTCTCCGATGGGGAACACAGAGGCATCTCAACACGGAGATCTCTCATCTTGCATGCGGGGATGACGGGGCGCTTACTCCCCGGGAGGCTGACGGTGATGGGTGGGTGACTGTGCTGTGCAAACAGCCCCCTCGGCCGGGCTCCGGGGACCTCTCAAATCTGGCAGGCTCTGCCCTTAAACGCCAGGTCAGCTGCCCGGGGCAGACACTGCAGAGAGGGAGGTCTGGGTGGACCCCAAGACCAGGAGCAGATAGAAAGGAAGGCCTGAGACCAGCAGGTGGCGTCATGGCTATGTCGCTGGACTCCCGTGTAGTCGACTGCGGTTCAAGTCCCAGACCCGGTGGCTTAAACTCATTCCGGGCGCGTGTGCGTGCGTGCCCAAGATCCCAAGAGGAGAGTGGAGGAGAAGGGATTGCGGCGTGGCCATAGGCGGGGGGGGGGGAACAGTGATTTCTAACTTTCTGTCTCCCTGTCTGTCTCTCCAAACCTCTCCAAAAAAAGGGGGGGGGGAAGGAAGTGAATCCTCTCAAATGCAGAAACTAAGTCTCAGAAGCAAATGACCAGCTATGGTCACACAGAAATACCCTAACCTCCAGGGCCAGCAGGTGGCATAGTGGTTAAGGCACTGAACTCCCTGTGGGCAACTGTGGTTCAAGTCCCAGACCTGGGAGCTTAAAACCCACCCCAGATATATATGTGTGCATTCCCAAAATCCCAAGAGGAGAATGGAGAAGGGATTGCAGTGTGGCCAGCCCTCTGGGGGCGTGGGGGGGGGAAGGGGTGATTTCTTGCTTTTTGTCTCTCCAGTAAACACACAGCCCTACAACAAAATCTATGAAAATAAATAAACAGGGGCCAGCAGGTGGCATAGTGGTTACGTCACTGGACTCCTACAGGGCCAATCACGGTTCGAGTCCCGGACCCAGTGGCTTAAACTCACACCGGGCGCGTGTGCGTGTGTGCGCAAGATCCCGAGAGGAGAATGGAGAAGGGATTCCGGCGTGGTCATTCCCCCCTGGGAGGTGATTTCTCCCTCGCTATGTCTCAGTCTCTCTCTGGTGAGTGCATGCACCCTCTTGCTAAAATCTCTCTCCCAAATAAATAAATAACAAATGAATCCAATCCATCCAGGCTTTTATTATGTAAAAAAATAACTGTACAAAAGAGAATAAAGTCTTAAGGCTTATCAGAAATGTTCGAGTCCCAGGTGGGGTCCTGCCCCAGCCAGAGCTGAGACTCTGCATAGGGGCTTCTCCATCTAACCTCTGACCTTTTTCTCTTTCAGGACATAGGAAGTGCAACTTCCCACCCCCCATGTGTGTCACCCCCGGCTGACCCCTGTCCCCAGGGCCTGGTTCACTGCTCCACCATGGGGCTCCATAGGGTCATTTTGCAAGCTACATATCTGGTCTCATCTATCCGTTCCCTGGGACCTCCGAACGACCAGGCAGCCCCATGTCCTGGCGCCAGCTTGGGCCCGAAATTTCCAGCTTTCAGAATCTTCAAAGGCTGGAGCTGCTGCTCCTGCCACCCATAGGCTCACTTGGTTCTGTGTCTTGCTTTTTGAGTATCTCATTCCTGGGCCACCTCAACCTGCTAGACCACCCTGCGTGGCCTCGACAGAGACACCTGCCCTCTGAACCACCCCCAAGGGGGCTCCAAGCGTGACTCAACTCAGACCTTCTCCGACTTTTCCTCCTCATTTAGCTAGCTGCTTGCCGAACTCCTATTCATACGCCAAAGCCCCAGCGAAAATGCCCTTGTCTCCAGGAAGCCATCTCTGCTTCCCCTCTGAACTCTCCCAGTGTTTGGTCCCCTATTCTGGTTCCAGGATGTTGGATATGTCAGACTCTGTCCCAGTCGGGGGGGGATCCTAGTACTGCCCACAGGCTGAGTACAAAGAGATTTAACAGTCTCCCAGATCTTGTGCCAGGCGTTCCATGACTCATGACGGCCAGTCCGGATAGAGATTCAGGCCTAGCTCTGTTCTCTGTCATGTGTGGGATCCGAACAGCCCCGTCCCATCCTGAGACTCGATCTCCCTGACTTCAATGCAGTCAGGCTGGGGAGTTCTTGGTCTGGCTGCTTCTCACGGTCCCAGTGGCTGAAAATACGTGTATACTCTCGTCCCTCGTCCCTCGAGGTGTTCTTTACGGCTCAGCAGGTCATGCAGCGTGGCCTCGGGGCCTCGGAGGGTGGGTTTGGATCCTCCTGAGAGAGACGCAGCGCAGTTAGGTCACAGGGGTCTGGGGGGGTTGGGAACTGGAGGCTCAGAAAGTCCCCTTCCCACCCGGCCTGTCTCCCAACTCCCACACGCAGCCAGGGAAGAAGCGCTGAGGGCAGAAGGGGGTTAGAGGGAGGGTTTAGTGCCAGCCGGTGGTGTAGTGGTTAAGGCGTTGGACTCCCACATGGCTGATTGCGGTTCGAGTCCTGGACCTGGCAGCTAGCTTTCTCACTTTCCCTCTCTCTCTCTCTCACTCTGTCCCTTTCTGACCGAATTAAAAATAAATAAATAAAGTTAAATAAGATCATTCTTTTTAAAAATTATTTATCTAATTTTATTTACTTATTCTTTTTTTTTTTTGGAGAGGTTTTTGCTATAGGGCACGTGCGCTCGCCAGACAGACAGAGAGAGACAGAGACACAGAAAGCGAGAAATCACTCCCCGTGGGGGTGGCCACGCCACAATCCCTTCTCCTCCATTCTCCTCTCGGGATCTTGGGCACGCACGCACGCACACGTGCCCGGCGTGAGTTTTAAGCCACCGGGTCCGGGACGCGAACTGTGGTCTACTACATGGGAGTCCAGCGACATAGCCATTACACTAACTGCTGGTCCCCATATTTATTCATTTATTTTAATTTGACCAGAGAGAGATGGGGAAAGTGAGGAAGCAAGCCACTAGGTCCAGCCCTCGAACCGTAGTTGGACATGTGGGAGTGTCTAGCGCCTTAACCACCACGCCACCTGCTGGTCCCTTGAATAAGATCATTCTTTATATATTTTTTTTGAGAGGTTTTTGCTATAGGGCACGTGTGCTCACCAGAAAGACAGAGAGAGACAGAGAGAAAGAAAGCGAGAAATGGGGGGATGGCCATGCCGCAATCCCTTCTCCTCCATTCTCCTCTCGGGATCTTGGGCACACACACATACGAGCCCGGTGTGAGTTTAAGCCACCGGGTCCGGGACTCGAACCGTGGTCGACTACATGGGAGTCCAGCGACATAGCCATTACGCCAACTGCTGGTCCCTCTCCATCCTGTTTTGAGAGCCCACATGCCTGGTATTTCTCAGGCCATGTGGGCTGAGATTCGAACCACATGGTTGGCCATGTAGGATCCACCTCCCTTGACCACCAGGCCATGGGGTTGGCCCTTGATTGACTTTTAAAAATTTTGCTATAAGGTACATGCACTCACTGGAAAGAAACAGATACAGAGAGAGAGACAGAGACAGAGAGAGACAGAGACAGAGAGAGAGAAAGTGAGAAATCAGCCCCTCAGAGGTCGGCCACACCGCAGTCCCTTCTCCTCCATTCTCTTGGGATTTTGGGCATGCATGCACATGCGCCTGGCTTGAGTTTTAAGCTGCTGAGTCCATGATTCAAACTACAATTGAGTTCATGAGAGTCCAGCAACATAACCACCACGCCATCTGCTGGTCCCCCTCTGCTGGATATTTTTTTTTAAGAATTATTTATCTGGGACCAGCAGTTGGCATCATGGCTATCTCACTGGAGTCCCACGTAGTCAACCGCGGTTCGAGTCCCGGACCCGGTGGCTTAAACTCACGCCGGGCGCGTGTGCGTGCGTGCCCAAGATCCCGAGAGGAGAATGGAGGAGAAGGGATTGTGGCGTGGACATCCCCCCTGGGGGGTGATTTCTCGCTGTCTGTCTCTCTGTCTTTCTGGCGGCGAGCGCATGCGCTCTATAGCAAAAACCTCTCCAAAAAAAAAGGAAAGAAAGAAAGAAAGAAAGAAAGAAAGAAAGAAAGAAAGAAAGAAAGGGAATAGGGGAATGATGGGAGTGGAGAGAAAAACCTATCTGTCACCATCTCTGCCATCTGTCACCATCTCTGCCTTCCCCCCACCCAGGCTCCCCGGCCCGAGGGACTCCGAGGGAGGTTCCCAGGCCAGAGCTCACCTCGGAGTACAGGGGAGGCGGCCGGTAGCGGAATTCCTGGATGTAGGTGAAGAAGGGCCCTTCCAGGCTCATGGCAGGGTCCTGCAGCAGGGGGAACGGGCTTTGCCCGGAGGCCACCTCCTCGTCTGCCACCACCTCTGAGTACTCAGGTGGGGCTGGAAGTGGGAGAAACAGTGGGTGAGAATCGCTCAGGAGCAAAGCCGGGGTTCCAGGGGCTTCAGCCAGATTGGGGCCACGGAGCTCGAGGGAAAGTGAGAAATCACCCCCACCCCCAGGGGGATGGTCACCCCTCCTAATCCCTTCTCCATTCTCCTCCTGGGATTTTGGACATGCACGCACACGTGCCCGGAGTGAGTTCCAAGCTGCTGGGTCCGGGACTCGAACCGCACAGTCAGCCATGGAAATCTCCCCGCCTTAACCTCCACGCCACCTGCTGATCCTTACTGGACTAGCGCGGGGAAAGGGGACCTGGCGTCTGTCTCTCTGCCCACCCACCCATGCAGCGGGGCTGGGAGCTCACCTTCCCGCAGCTCAGGCAGGGCCCCCAGTCCCCAGTCCTGCAGGTAGCTCGCGTGGCTGCCCACGCTGGATGACCGGGTGCCGAAAGGGTGCAGGGGGATGGTGCCAATGACCAGCGGCAGCTCCAGGAGCAGCTTGGATGTGCCCGGAATATCCACACACACCTGGAGAAACCAGGGAGCCAGCAGGTGGCGTGGTGGTTAAGGCGTTGGACTCCCACATGGTCGACCACGGTTCAAGTCCCTGACCTGGTGGCTTGCTTTCTCACTTTCCCTCTCTGTCTCTTTGTCTCTCTCTGATGTGCACACATGTCCTACAGCAAATTAAAGAATAAAAATAATAAAATGATTCTTTTAAAAACAGAGGAGGCTTTCCAATCTGCACCTCCCCCTAGTGCTAGGGGAGACTGAAGTTCCAGCTCTAGCCTTCGGGGGGGACCCCACGTTTGAGGAATAAAGTGAACCAAGCCACCCTGCCTCCTTACACCTGTGGGGTAATCCACTTTTTTTTTTTTAAAGAGGTTTTTGCTATAGCACATGTGTGCTCGCTGGAGAGAGAGATAAAGAGACAGAAAGAGATAGAAAGAGAAGTCATTTCCCAAAGGGACGGCCATGACACAATCCCTTCTCCTCTGTTGTTCTCCTGGGATTTTGAGCATACGTGCTCAGTGTGCATTTGAAGCCACCGGGTCCGGGACTCGAACTGTGGTTACCCATGATGTGCAGTGTCTTCACCGCCACCCACCGGCTGCTCCCCTGCCTGGGTCCTCTACCTTAAGCGTATAGTCCACGTGCAGCACTCGGCAGTGAAGGATGGAGGGACCCACAGGGGGGATCCGCAGCGCCCGGCCCTGCCACAGCGCCCGCCGTCCTGGGCCCACCGGCTCTCCCAAGAGACTGGCCACCACCGCGCGTTTCTGCTTCCGCGCGCCGCGCGCCATGAAGGTCTGTGTTTGCACCACGGCCGCCCGAGGGAGCACAGGTCGCTTGGAGCCGTTGTCGATCTCAGCAAAGACCGGGATGACTTCTCCTGCAGCAGAAAGCGGCGGGGCCTCAGTGTCCCCACGTGCGCCCCGGCCCCAGCCCCCTTTCCACCCCGACCTCGCCCCAGCCGCTACCTGGGGTGTAACCTTTGCGATCGATCTTGGCCGAGAGGGAGACGAGGCCGCGGTTACAATACCAGGATCGCGCCATCTTTTCCTGGGCTCCGGCCTGCGGTGCCTGCGGGGACAGGAGAGGGACAGGGATGGGACACTTTGTACAATCTGGGGACCTCCATGGAGCTTTCCAACCACCCACAGCTCAGAGGGCTTGGGGCAGGGCCTGGCTTAACTTCGCATCCAGAAACTGAGAAACTACCAATGAAATGAAGCCACAGGCTGGCAGGTGGTCTGGTGGTTAAGGAGCTGGACTCCCACGGGTCTAACTGCAGTTCGAGTCCCGGACCTGGAGGCTTGCTTTCTCTTTCTCTTTCTGGTCAAATTAAAGACTCAATAATAATAGATAAAATTAAATTAATCATTCTTTAAAAGGCGATGAAGCCAGGGATATGATCCATCCTTTCTTTTCTTTTCCTTTTTTTTTTTTTTTTTTAAGGCTTTGCTATAGGGTGCATGCAGTTACCCCAGAGAGACAGAGATAGACACACACACACAAAATGAGAAGCCCCTCTCCCCCCAGGGAGGACGACCACACCGTAATCCCTTCTCCTTCATTCTCTTCTGGGGATTTTGGGCATGTGCACCTGGTGTTTTGTTTGTTTGTTTGTTTTTTAAAAAGAATTATTTAATTTAATTTAATTTAATTAATTAATTTATTTGTAATTTGACCAGAGAGAGAGAGAGAGAGAGAGAAAGTGAGAAAGCAAGCCACCAGGTCTGGGACTCGAACCACAGTAGGCCATATGGGAGTCCAGCACCCTTAACCACCATGCCACCTGCCGGATCCCTGCTGTGTTTTTCTAGGCACCTGGGTTCTGGAGTTGAACAGTTGCCACATCATCGAAGGCCCTGAACTATCTTATAATAATAAACAAACTTGGGGACCAACAGTTAGCGTAATGGCTATGCCGCTGGACTCCCACGTAGTGGACCGCGGTTTGAGTCCTGGACCCGGCGGCTTAAACTCACACCAGGCATGTGTGCGTGCGTGCCCAAGATCCCGAGAGGAGAATGGAGGAGAAGGGATTGAGGCATGGCCATCCCCCCTGGGGGGTGATTTCTCGCTTTCTGTCTCTCTCTCTCTGTCTGTCTGGCGAGTACATGCACCCTATAGCAAAAAACCTCTCCGAAAAAAAGAAAATATAAAAATTAAGAAAAAATAAACAAAGCTGAATGTCTAGTGCCTAAGTATCCAGTCAGCTGTGGATAGTTTAAAAACTCCTTGGGAAGCGTAGACTGGAAAACGGCTCAGAGAGGGTGAGACACTTGCCCAGAGCCACACAGCATACATTGGTGCAGCTGGGATTTACATTCCACATGCATGCCTACACCTGCCTTCCTGTGGGGCCGGGGGCCCCGCTGTGACCCTAACTTTGAGCAGCCAGGCCCTTGCCACGGCGTCTCTATCCTACCTCCCAGGGGACAGCCACTCACCAGCAGAGCAGGTGTGTTTATGTCCACAGGCTCAATGACAGTGAACACCTTCCTTGCCCGGCGTGCTGGGACCCAGGGCCGGTGGAGGGTGGCCTTGATGGAGTAGCGGACACTGCCGTGCTTGCCTTCAAAAGATGTCACCAGGGTCCTGGCAATGC